TTTATCTAGGAGTATTTATTTTTAAACGTATCCAGAAACCATGAGTTGTAAAACCCTTTGGCTCGGTATTATGGATATCGCAACCCTTCGGTCTTGATTATATTGTAAATATCGTAAATCTGGGAGAAATGTGGCTTTTCTGCCTACCCCTGGGAGTGAACCCGGACCACAAGGAGTTCGTCACCCGGCCGCCGCGAAAGTCAGGTTTAACCAACGCTAGAGAGCCGGGCTATCTAGGAGTATAAACACTTATTAAGCGCCGTGTCTGATGTTTTATCTTGGGGTAAGTAAAAGTAAAGTAAAGATCCCTTTTCATGCCTTAAGCGCATCGGGCATATGGGAAGATAATCCCATTTTTTTTACAGACCAATCGGCACTAGGTGGGTAACGTGGTCAGCATTACGCCAGCCGTCTTTACTTCCTCATGGCACACATCCTGGTACCCATTAACACTGTGTCGACCTGCGACGACCCACACTATGAAAAAATCCACTCAGCCAGCAGAGGGTTTCGATCGCAGTACGTTGGAATTACGATTCGGACTAAGAAACACCTAAGCCACGAACGCCACCGTCTTGTAGTATAAATATTTAGTAAGCACTGTGTTTAATGTTTTATCTCGTAGTATAAACACTTAGCGCTTCCGACGTTTTCTCTTAAAGTGTAAACACTTAGTAAGCACTGTGTCCGATGTTTTGTCACGTAGTATAAACACTTAGTAAGCACTGTGTCCGATGTTTTGTCTCGTAGTATAAACACTTAGTAAGCACTGACCGATGTTTTATCACGTAGTATAAACACTTAGCAAGGGCTGTGACCAATGTTTTATCTTGTAGTATAAACACTTAGCAAGGGCTGTGTCCGATGTTTCATCTCGTAGTATAAATATTTAGTAAGCACTGTGTTTGATGTTTTATCTCGTAGTATAAACACTTAGCGCTTCCGATGTTTTCTCTTAAAGTGTAAACACTTAGTAAGCACTGTGTCCGATGTTTTATATCGTAGTATAAACACTTAGCAAGCACGGTGTCCATTATTTTTTTAAACACGCTTGTAGTATAAACACTTAGCAGGCACTGTATCCGATGTTTATCCTCGCAGTATAAATACTTAGTGAGCGCTGCGTAGTATAAACACTTAGCGCTTCCGACGTTTTCCCCTAAAGTGTAAACACTTAGTAAGCACTGTGTCCGATGTTTTATCTCGTAGTATAAACACTTAGTAAGCACTGTGTCCGATGTTTTATCTCGTAGTATAAATACTTAGTTAGCGCTGTGACCGATGATTTTTATCTCGTAGAACATACACTTAGTGAGCACGGTGACCTACGTTTTATCTTGTCGTTTAAACACTTAGTGAGCGTTGTGTCCGATGTTTTATCTTGTAGTATAAACACTTAGTGAGCGATGTGTTCGTACCATTGTTTTCTTGGCGAACGGGAAGAGACTGAGTTAAATGCCATTGTCACTTGTTAAGTTTTGATTTGTAGACCAGTAGGCAATCACCCAGTGATCAGTAGACACTTGCACAGTGATCAGTAGACACTCGCACAGTGATCAGTAGACAGTCTTCCAGTGACCGGTAGGCAGTCTTCCTGTGACCAGTAGACAGTCTTCCTGTGACCAGTAGACAGTCGTCCAGTGATCAGTAGACACTCGCACAGTGATCAGTAGACACTCGCACAGTGACTAGTAGACAGTCGTCCAGTGACCGGTAGGCAGTCTTCCTGTGACCAGTAGACAGTCTTCCTGTGACCAGTAGACAGTCGTCCAGTGACCAGTAGGCAGTCTTCCTGTGACCAGTAGACAGTCTTCCTGTGATCAGTAGACAGTCTTCCTGTGACCAGTAGACAGTCTTCCTGTGACCAGTAGACAGTCTTCCTGTGACCAGTAGAAGTCTTCCTGTGACCAGTAGACAGTCTTCCTGTGACCAGTAGACAGTCATCCAGTGACCAGTAGGCAGCCTTCCTGTGACCAGTAGGCAGTCTTCCTGTGACCAGTAGACAGTCTTCCTGTGACCAGTAGACAGTCGTCCAGTGACCAGTAGACAGTCTTCCTGTGACCAGTAGACAGTCTTCCTGTGACCAGTAGACAGTCTTCCTGTGACCAGTAGACAGTCGTCCAGTGACCAATAGACAGTCGCCTAGTGACCAGTTGACAGTTGTCTAGTGATCAGTAGACAGTTGACCAGTTGACAGTCGCCTCATAACCAACAGACAATCACACAGTGACCAATATCTCTAAATCAACAACAAAGCCCTCACATAAAAGAATAATAGCCGTGTATAGTTCTGGTATACACATACTGAGATCGTCATTTGTGCTACGGAATTCGTATACTCTGTTTATATTATCCCAAGGTGATGGATTCTAAATGAGAATAGACAAGCACATATAACTGCGCTGATCGAGGCCAGTGATATTATCTTACAGTGGGCGCTGGTTGAGAAGATGTTGCAGTCATCACAGTTAGCGGCAGCCATTACAGTTAGTGGCAGCAGGGTTTGAACCCAACAAGTTGGTTAATGTCCTTCTGTGGACGTCGTCAGCCAACACCGCCATTTTAATTGTCGTATTGTTTTACTCGACAGCTTGAAGTTCATTAGTTTAATCATGCTTTCTGGGCGACACGACGCTCACACCTTTACCATACTCAAACCAGCATGCTAGTTAGCTAATGGTCGAAGCTAGTTTCAAACCCTGGCACAACAAAATTGCGAAAACTTCAGTAACGACCTCGAGGCTACAGATCCCGGTAGAGACTGAAGTATAAAAGTGTATCTTCCATGTCCCGACAGTCAGGGACCACCCAGTTTTAACACACAGCTGTTGGACAGGCACATCCTCTACACAGCCTGGGCCTCTCAACCGGGCAGGGCTGTTAAGCGTTTTCAGTGACTCAAGTGGCTGCAGACAGACACGAAGTACTCATAGCGGCGGAAAAACCTGATATGTGCACACACTCCTTGTGGGGGATTCGCTGTAAACAAGGCAGTGCGTTTGTGTGTAGTTTGTTTTAGTTGCAGATCTTCTGGTGACCCTGTACTGGATATGGTTTGTTGAATCATTGGTGTAGCAATTCGTCCATATAGCATTGACTTGTTTTTGTCGTTAGGTTGTGTGTAAGTTATTGTGCTGTGGGCCGCATAGCTTTACCCCTGGGACGATCAAGAAAAGATACGCATGGCCTAAACTGTTGTCAGCAACATGAGACAAATACTCATATCTAGAATCTAGAGAGATCGCATGAGATGAGATGTCGTGAGATGAGATGCCTGAAGAAAGCCACCAGCTTAACCACCTGGGAGCGAGTGAGACGCGACACTATCAGGCAGACGTGGGGACAGCAGAAGATAGATGATTTGGACACTTTATTAGATTGCAGTTTTTTTTTGGGTCGGGGGGGGGGGGGGGGGGGGTGGGGGCCCAACAAGAGGCCGTCTAGGTGTAGATATTCGAATAATATATCGGAGTTTGAAAGAAATATTTCGATCACGTTATAAAACACACTCATAGACATCATACTGCAGGCACCGGGAGACAGATGTGAACAGTGATACAAGTGGGAGGATCACATCAGCAGATTTGACCAACAACTGCCAGCGACACGGTGTTGGAGTTTCCTTGCAGCCACCTTTATCCCGCAGCCGAAATCTGACGTGGAATCTGTATGTGATATTAACCTGGAGCCTTCCAGAAAGTTCTCATCAGCCCTGACTTCTGGCTACATTGAATTGGCTGTCTGCGTGGCTTCTTGGCCCTATTCCTGGATCAACAATAGATTACGGCTCCTTGACAAACGTGTCGTAAAGGCCTCTGAAAGAGGATTGACTGAAATTTGATGTTTTTGGTTGAAGGTACAGATTTGCGGCCTAGCTGTGACCAGGACTCAGCATGCCAACCATCCCTTTCAGGACGAACGCAGAAGTAGAAGGATTATGATGATGATGATAAAGAAGAAGAAGAAGAAGAGGTGGGAATAATAATAATAATATTTCCAACGTCGGGATGTTTAGTCGTTTCTCTTGTTGATTGTCTGATTGTTGTTAGGCTAAGAAACTAGTCACCCCTGGATGACCTAGTTAGCAGTAAGACTGCACACAGAAGCCTAATGACCGCTGAGTTGAGGCAGTTACAAATGGAAAGGTGGAAACTCTAACGAAACGTTCTTGGTCGTGACCATATGTCCACTGAGTTGAGGCAGTTACAAATGGAAAGGTGGAAACTCTAACGAAACGTTCTTGGTCGTGACTGAGTTGATGGGTACAGAACATCAGTCCGTGCTTCATAACCGAAAGCTACTGCCGGCTGGACACGACTCATGACAATTCTGTCTGAAATTTGTGGCACAGAAGACGTTCCTTCCGTGAATGAGTCAATCAGTAAACTACCATGTCCGCATTGGATATCGGCGGCATTGTCTCCAGTACTTGGTGTCGTCTCGTCTGTTTGTATATGGTCCGTCTGTATAAGCTTGGACTGTTCCCTCTCCTGACACTGTCCACGCATCTGACGTCTGGTCTAAGCTTCCTCTCCAGTTGTCCCTCCAGCACATTGCATGTAATAACTCTTTGAAATATTGATCCCAGATACCGACCAGTCTCATCGCACGCGGCTTTGTTGTTGTCTATGGTTAGGTGAGAGCATAACTGTAGAAAACACGTGGCTCACATATCAACAAAATCGGTTAATATATAAATTGAATTATATTGTTTATCTTTGCAGTAAATCATCTGTTTTCTGTTTTAAATCATTTGGTTTATATTTCAACGGAATTGTCTGGTTCTTATTTCAACTAAATGTTTGGTTTGTGTTTCATATACTGGGTGTGATCAGTGACTAATGACATGGTTACTTATGTGAATAGCCCTACTGGTAAGCGAAAGTGAAGTCAGACAGTGAGTCTCACTTATTAAAAAGAGACGCCTGGAATAGAAACACCAGAATTCATTCACACATACGCCTGATACTTCTACGACAGTCAGTTAACCCAGTTTCACAATGAATAGCCCTGGTGGATTATCTAACGGCGCACCAAGTCGCTTCGTCAACAGTCCCTCCAGAGAGTCATCGGTGGGTCCAGCAGGGAGCGATACATCAGAGTCGTCACTGGACTCTCCCAACCAGCACAAACCCAAGAAACTCTTTCGGATACGATCTAGGGCCGGAGAACTGACCTTTGGGAAACTGCTGACCAACCCAACTGTAAGTGAAATTCTCTCTGCTTTTTGGCTATTGTTGAAACATTTGAGCTTGTTGCTTCGGTGTGTGTCCAGCTTGTGTTGGGACTGTTGCATGCATTCGCTGGCGTACAGTTGCCTAAGGCCTGGGCAGCTCCATATAAATATATGTGGCTTACAGTGTCAGTCTCTGTCATCATCCTCATCATCATCATCTTCTTGCGCCCCGCCGATAAACTTAGGCGGTGTTGTTTGGCCACCCACACCACCCACAGATTCACGGTTCTAGCTCCGCTCCGCTCCACCCACAGATTCACGGTTCTAGCTCCGCTCCAACCACAGATTCACGGTTCTAGGTTCGCTCCACCCGTGTAGCTAAGTCATCAAGATATTTATTTGTTTCCCCTGTTTTGTGTTCCCCTCTATCTTATCATTGTTACCAAATTATATTCCTTTACCTAACTTGCTCAGAAATATATTAACTGTTCACGGATAATTTTCTGAATTTAATTAGGGTTACATCTGTTGAGGTTGCACTACCTCATATGTTTTCTGTCATTGCATGATATTCTTGGCATTCCGGTTAAAAACCACATACCAGTAGATGTTTTCCAGCTAGCTTCCCGTGCTATAACAACACAGGTTCTGTATAGCGCTTAAACGTTGTGGTTCTCACCCGTGTCTAGAAGATGTGCCACAGAAGTATGTGGTGTCTCTAAATATTGCGAGACATCTTAGAGACATGAAGGCTATCACCTTGGAAAGATATAACATCAACAGTGTTGCATATTGGGATGATGCAGTGTTGACTGCAGAGTACCGGAGAACCAATGAGGCTAGGGAAAGTGAGCGAGAAATAAAACATGGGTATTGTTGGACACATCTAGATGTAGAGGAAAGAAGTAGAGCTGAGAGGACAGGCTAAATATGACAAATATAGCTTCAGTTGACATTGTTAAAATGGTCTAGCATGACTTCTTAACTATATGTCTCCTCTATTCCTGTATACAGTCAAGCAGATACTATTTTACATATCACTAACATGTTGGGCGTGTGATGCTACGCCCATTATGTTCAACAAAAAAACAACTAGAAACGACGTGGGTTCAGAACTGACATATAGCACCCAGGACATTCCCACAAGCGCCCCGTCCCCTTCTTCAGAATTCCAATACTGAAGGTACCAGTAGCGGTCGGATTGATTGATTGTCCCCCTTGCCTCCTCTCAGAGCGTTGAGTGTCGGCCACATCATCAAGTCCATCTCCATTCTCTCCAGACAATGACGATTTGTTTCTCTATTCAGTCGCTCCTAAAGGGCCGTGATAACATCTAACTTATCTGGCATCAGTTTACCCCTAAGTGGTGCTGAACCAGTCAGTCTGCCTGTTCATTTTCCAACACACCTGCATTCATGGGAAAACAGCTCCCAAGGGGCTAACTATAACTAACTAGAGCTGGATTTTTCAGCATTCAATTGATTCGAAATCTTCTGGGTTAAACGATGAACGTGCGGACACACTCAATCGTTTGCCGCCAGTGTTTGATGCCCACCGATCTCTGAGTGCATAAAGTACAGTTCTACCTCGGTGTACGTCTACTTTAGTATAGGTCCAACTTACCATATGACCCCTGTAAAGACGCGCGACCTATGTTTGGAATAAGTCTCACATGCTGAAACTGTTTTGAAGTCAGAGGGACTTACGACACCTATAATTTACCTCTATTGTCATCTTGGGAATGTTTGCTAAACAAATGGATATCAAAAACTTTGCTGAGGACTACAGATTATACAAAGCCGAAACATGTCCTGATAGCAGTGCTTGTAGACAGCGTCACATTTCTAAAAATTTTCGAGACGAAGACAGTAGACGAGTTGTGTAGACACTGCCTAATACTTAAATCGTAGAAGAGATCGGGGCCATACAGCATCATATCCGCAAAGACAACAGTGGTATGCTACAGCAGCCTTGACTGTGGCAATGACACAGGCATTTATTTAAAAACTAAAAACCACAAATATAAAAGTTAGATGACATAAATGAAAATGTAACCGCACTTGACCTTGCCGAGAAGAGAGCAGTGCTTACTAGGGTGATATTGAGAATGGAGGAGGAGAAGATTTGACCTGGCCGAGTCGAGTGCAGTGCTTACTAGGGTGATATTGAGAATGGAGGAGAATATTTGACCTTGCCGAGTCGAGTGCAGTGCTTACTAGGGTGATATTGAGGATGGAGGAGGAGAAGATTTGACCTGGCCGAGTCGAGTGCAGTGCTTACTAGGCTGATACCGAGAATGGAGGAGGAGAAGATTTGACCTTGCCGAGACGAGTCCAGTGCTTGCTAGGCTGATATCGAGAATGGAGGAGAAGGAAAAGATTTGACATTTCCGAGACGAGTCCAATGGTTACTAGGGTGATACCGAGTATGGAGGAGGAGAAGAAGATTTGACCTTGCCGAGACGAGTGCAGTGCTTACTAGGCTGATACCGAGAATGGAGGAGAAGGAGAAGATTTTACATTTCTGAGACAAGTCCAATGGTTATTAGGGTGATACCGAGTATGGAGGAGGAGAAGAATATTTGACCTTGCCGAGACCAGTGCTTACTAAAGTGATACTGTGGATGGAGGAGGACGAGGAGACGATGCTATTGTTAAGAAGAAGAGTCCCCTCCCGCCAGTTTTTGTTCTCTGTGTTGCCAGCTTGGATCTGGCTGAAGCTCTTCGGGTTTGACTTTGGCTAAAAAATTGATACACAATTGATAGAAACCCATCAGTATATATTGTGGCAATAACTAGAGGATTTAAAAAAAATGGGAACGGATTAGTCATTCGTTATTTATTATGGAAAACCCCGCTTCTTATGCGTCCTGCTTGGTATACGCCCTGTTTGATATACGTCCTGTTCAAATACGTCCTGCTTAAATACGTCCTGTTTGATATACGGTGTAGGTCGGTATACGTGATGTTTGTATACGTCCTGCTGGGTATACGTCCAAGGATCTGGAAGAGATTAAGGTCGTATACCGAGGTACATTTGAGGTAGCTGACTGTAAGATGCAACAACATTGCCACGGAACCATTGTAAACCGTCTATTTCCTGCCGGCAGACTACAGTTGCCAGTTTGATTTTGAGGTAGAGTGACCGCGGTCAGCGTCAACCTGAGATCTGCGCGTCACTGCTGACAACTGAGCGTGACTCCAAGCTACTGGCAAGTGGAGGCTGCTTACTGAGACACATGTCAGTCACTGCTGACACCCCAGCGTGACTCCAAGCTACTGGCAAGTGGAGGCTGCTTACTGAGACACATGTCCGTCACTGCTGACACCTCAGCGTGACTCCAAGCTACTGGCAAGTGGAGGCTGCTTACTGAGACACATGTCAGTCACTGCTGACACCTCAGCGTGACTCCAAGCTACTGGCAAGTGGAGGCTGCTTACTGAGACACGTGTCCGTCACTGCTGACACCTCAGCGTGACTCCAAGCTACTGGCAAGTGGAGGCTGCTTACTGAGACACATGTCCGTCACTGCTGACACCTCAGCGTGACTCCAAGCTACTGGCAAGTGGAGGCTGCTTACTGAGACACATGTCAGTCACTGCTGACACCTCAGCGTGACTCCAAGCTACTGGCAAGTGGAGGCTGCTTACTGAAACACATGTCAGTCACTGCTGACATCTCAGTGTGACTCCAAGCTACTGGCAAGTAGAGGCTGCTTACTGAGACACATGCCAGTCAGTCAGTCTATCAGTCAGGAATTCTATCAGTCAGTCCGTCTAGTTTGAGAGTAAGACTAAGTGGACAGGTAGAAGCTGAGAAAATAGGTCAGTCGATCTATCGGTCAAGTGCTTAGCTTAACCGGTAAGCTGAAGTCAAATCTAATGACTGAAATAGTGTTAATCTCTCCGTTGGAGGCCGGATTTAAATACTGATTAAATACCCGCTAAAACATTACAAACATGTCGTAAAAGGCGTTAATTAAGGGGTTTTCCTGAGGAGATGGATCGCACGCGAAACTGAAGCTGCGGAACACGACTACAGACCAAATAACCAGAGGTTTCTATCGGAGTGTACAGACGGGAACACAGAGACGAAGAAGATAATCAGTCAAGTGCCGTCTCCACAACCAAGGTTGCCTGCACCTGATCTCTTAACATGTTTGTTGTTGTACATTGTGTAGCATGCCTGTTAACCATGTGTATAGTGTTGTCTGCCCATTTGTATCATTATCAGCTCCCGGTGGCCTACATTCTACTGATCTCATCGTCTGGCTTATGCAAAGTCCGACAGTTAAGTAGTGAGACTAATTCCATAAGAATTGAAATAATCGGCAGTAGAAGATAGAATCTGTATTTTATTCTTAGTAAAACCCTTGTGCATTGATACAGCGAGTGGCACGATCTAACAAACACTGGAACGGCCTCTGTAATTCTTCTGTTGTTATGGCCTTTAATGGAGATGTTTCGTCGGTTTGGATGTCATCAATATCGTCAAAAAGCGTCTTCTTAATAGCAGGTTTAATTCTAGGAATATAAAATAATCACAGGGAGGCAGATCTGGGAACTAGGGTTGGTTGTTTTGGGACCAAAAATTATTGTTCAAACCCGCCCGGTGAGCCGGTGCATTGTCACGAAGAAGGGGAAAAAAAACTGCCAGGTGTTGAATACTCGGGTCGGACTCTGAGAATCCTTTGCAAAAGACGTTTCATAATACTGAAATAAACTGTGGCTATGACAGTCTGTCCCTCTGGATACAATTCTTTGCGAATAAATCCTGTGCTGTTGTAGATGCACATCAACATTGTCGTCACTTTTGACTTTCGAAGACCATTTTTGTGTGTGGCCTTTTTGTGTTGATGATTTTCACTGAGTATTTTGGCGTTAAGTTGTGGCACCAAAGCGGAAAATCCATGTTTCATCCTTTGCGACAACCAGATTTAGGAAATGGTTTTTTTCTGTGACACGTTTTGATGATGTCTTTTACGTACTCAACACGCTGATGCTTTTTGTCATCAGACAACGAATGTGG